TCAGTATTAGTAGTCTTGGTACGTCGTTAGTAAGGTAAGAGATGGTCAGCTAATGTGACACCGTAACGTGACACAAAGTACCTTATGTCTTTCCAGAACTGGGAAAGACCTTCTCCAAAATGTTCTCCAGTTTGAAGGATGATGATAACGAGGAGGAAGGCAAGGAAGGGAAGCAGGAGGAGGAGGAGGAAAGCAGCAATGAGGAGCCTGAAGAAGGCAAGGATGAGAAGGTATGGCGGGCATGCGTTTGTGGCAATGCTGATTTCAGTTTGAGGATTTTCAGTCGAGCTTTTATTAGTAACCAGAAGTTAAATTGGAATATTTAGTATATTATAGTTATACAGGGCACGAAATTCAGATTTTTTTTGCACTGGCCCAGAGGGCTGGTAACAGCAGTATTTGACCAGCCCTCACCATAATTTACCAGCCCTCACAAATTTGTTATTAAAAAAAAATATATGTTTCACTGACTCTTGCTTGTCCAAATAATGTTGTAGTGTGCGGCATCGCATAGTAGCTGTTGAACAGACTATAATGCAGATCGTGAATGATGTCCGAAGTGTTTTTGTCAATGTCATGTTTCACGCTTGCATTCTCGATTTAAAATATGTAAAGTGTTGATAAATTATGGCGTGATATCCTTCAGGTAAAACAGCATTGTAGGCCATTTGCTCGTTAATGCTATAATTAATTAAAAATGTAAGTACTCGCTAACACGGCTGAACCCACCGGCTCGGAGAGCCGGTGTTTTGCCAATGTTACTGGCTCTCCAAATAATTTGCCGGCATATGCCGGTGGGCCGGTGCTAATTTCGCACCCTGGTTATATTATTGGGTTATATCTTGCTGTTGTGTGTCGTCAGATGGCAGCACATTCATCACGACTCGCGTTTCAGGTGGAGAGTGATGCGGCAAAGGAAGGGGATGCTGAGAAGGAAGGCGGAAGCAGTGCAGATCAGAAAAATGACGAGAAAGCCGACGCGGCGGTGGACGGCAACAGCAGCAGCAATGCCGCTACCAATCAGAGCGAGGCGGCGGAGAAAAGTTCGGAGCCGCGTAAGCCTCGGACGATCAAAGACCCAATAGAAGCGAGCGTCTTGATTGATGACACGCAGGAGATGACGGCCGACGAAATCGACAACTCCAAGGCTAAGTACGTTGCACGTTCCATCTACGCTTAAAGCTGTGTATAGAGTTCACTCTGGGGAAAACTCCCAAAAGTATGCTTTCGACAGGTAACTGGTCGGCAACTGCCATTCAAGGGAAACACGAAAAGTATCATTTATTGAGACAGATCCGTTCTATGGTGGTGGCATCCCTCAATATTTGCCACTCATGAGAAATACCAAATGTATCCTTACTAGACACTGTGTATTAATGTGTTCCTGTACACGTGTAAACTGACCATTTTCACTTCACAATCACACTTTAGCACAATCATTTTATTACCTTCGCCAAGGAGGTTATGTATTCGCCCCTGTTAGTTTGTTGGTTTGTTTGTCTGTCAGCAGGATATCTAAAAAAGTTACAGACGGATTTTGATGAAATTTTTTGGACGGGTTGGTCTTGGGCTAAGAACCAATCGAATAGATTTTGGTGGTGATCCGGATCCAGATCTGGATCCAGGAATTTTTTTAAGGATTTCTCATCATTGATGGTAGTGTAGGCTAGCGGTTTACTCTCTAACCGCTTCGCTTCGTTTCGTTTTCGCTTTCTGTAGGGGTTTATGATGTGTCACCGCCGCGTTAAACCTGACTACAAATTAGATCGATAGCTATATATAGATATATGGGGGGACTGTTAAGCTGTGGCGGAGGTTTGCTATCTCCGATTGCTCTTGCATTATCCATACATTTCCTTGTCAATATTAACATTCTAAATATACGTTTCTAAATATTATAATATTTTAGAATGGCCATTCTGGACAAGAAAGATCGCGAGAAGGCGGAGAACGAACATGCGAAGAATGCCCTTGAGGCGTTTGCCATCGACCTTCAGGCGAAGCTGTGGGAGCCATCCTATGAGAGCGTGTCGACGGATGAGGAGCGAACGAGCATCCGCGAGCAACTCAGCGAGACATCTGATTGGCTGTATGAGGACGGCAGCGAGGCCAACACTGACGTAAGTAACGATGACAGCGACAACAACAGTGGTGATGATGATGATAGTAACAACAGCAGTGGTGATGATGATGATAGTAACAACAGCAGTGGTGATGATGATTGATAGTAACAACAGCAGTGATGATGATGATGATGGCAGCTATGGT